TTCCCTTTGAAATAAATATCGTGTGGTGAAATCAAACAACAGCAGAGTGAAACAATGTTTTGCCTGTACAGTGAAACCAGATTTTTTTTTTGGGGCGGGGGACAGAGATGAAATGCTATTTATAAACTGCTTCTCAAAGGAAGTGAGCATCCCCCAGAGGATAAATGCAGCTTCGGAAAAATGATACAGCCTGGAGCCAGAGGAGGAAGTATGCAGAGACGAGTCCAGGAGCTGAACATGGAAAAGCCTGACTGCTTGTGTGTGTGTTTCAGTGTGACTGTGAGAGAAACAGAGGAAAACAAGGAAGCAGAAGCTAAACGTTGTCTCTTTCAGTCAAATATCCTGTATGCTGCTGTTATTATAATGCAAAAGCTCTTGGGTCAGGTCATTGACCTTATTGACATTATTTCAATTATAATGTGTTTATATGAGTTGCTAAAACAATATTCCTTTCATATTCCTGTTTATGTGTTATGAGCTTTGCCCGATCGTGGCTCACATCAATACGTCCACTGTTCCATTACGTCCAACGTAATTCTGCCAGGTTTGAAACCCCAACAAGAAATAGTTTAATGTAAGATGCTACTGAGACGTAAACATATCTACATAATGCAACTAAAACTGGAACACTCCATCCACATTATTGCTTATTCCAAGTATGACCTTGCAGAAAATGTTGTTGACATAGCAGTGTCTTATTCAGACTATTGTCCTAATCGAGAAGAACACTTATGTCCATGTAAACGGTCTGTGTCACTCATTATCTCCAATTCACTGTAAATCCAGCAGCTGAGGCTTAGTGTCAGACTGGTTCGCTGTTTAACTCACTGACTCCCAGGCTCCATAAATCACATCCGCTCACCAGCAGTTACCCCATTCTCATGTCGACTGTTAGAGCCAGTGGGTTAGAAAAATAAACGTGTCATTAGCTGTTTGACAGGATACTTTAACAGGCCATGCATCACTCGATGATGGAGCAAGAGGCACTTTGTCTGATTTAAGCCTGCTTGTAAACACAAACTTATGACCACAATCATTCACAGAATAAAAATGTCCATTTGATAATTTCGCAAGGGAGGTAGAGATATTTAAGTCATTCACCGCAAAGTGGTGTTCAGCAACCAAAATGGGATAAAAGCCCCCAGATGTATTAGTAAATACAAGTTTGAAAATATATAATTATTACATGGCGGTTACTGGGAGTTTAAAACAGCAGAATAATACAAAGAGTGGGTCGTTTAATAGCTTCTCTCAGGCCGAACTGCCAACGATGAGAGTTCATTGAATTGTGGGAAACGCAGGGCATGACCCAATGTTACATAAGGTGCTGACAGTTAAAGCTTTGGGATAGTTTAACATTTGTGGCGTTTAACCTCAACCTATATAGCTGTCATGTAATCTCAAATACTGCAATGTTAGGATATACAGTGGAAGGGTTGTGACTTGTAGATTACATATTTATTTGTCTTGCATTTACAACAGACTGTGTTTTACATGTATGTAGACCACCTGGTTGACCTCTTGATCCATTGTGATCTGAGTGCTTGGAAATACATCCATCCATTATATTATATAGAAATATACAGAAAAACTGTGGGAGGAAGCAAGAAAACTTACGCGGACACGGGAAGAACATGCAAAGTCCACATGACCCAGGTCAGACTGGAATTCAAACGCAATTGTTGTGACGCAAACTGTGTTAACCACTGCACCACTGTGCCAATCCAGTATGCATATCTAATTAAACACACAGATATACTCTTGTGTTACAGAGCTGGAATTCCACAGTAGCTCTGAGGTATTCTGCAGCCTTCGCAGGAGGTGAACGTCAACTCATAACACAGACCAGGCGAGATTTTATCACCTCAAGAAATGAGATTGTGTTACAGTTAAAAAAAACTGTGGTTATATGAAGGCCTTGGAAAATCAGAAATGCATTTGACTTTTGAACCATTTACATGAAAATATATCAGAGTCTTTTCTCAGTTTATATGTATTTACTGATTTGGGACAATTTGCAATATAATTACACTGCTAGAAATGTAGATTTACTAAAATAAACCATATTTTAACTGTTTTGTTGACTCCAACATTGTTCTTTTCTGTTTCAAAACTTTTAAAAATACATTTACTACTCATTTCAAAACAAGACGATCTGACTTCCTCTTCCCTCGAATGTTACTTTCCTCACATGCACTTTGTGATGTGATCAGGTAGTCTGTTTCTAAACCTCCTCTGCTACCCTGGTTTTGTTTTCAGTTACAGACAATGTGTGGACATTTACCAAAATCTGTTTGAAGTGAGAACCAGGTCTGGCAGGATGATCAGAGTCTTTCCTTTTATTTTGCCATGTTTTAACAGTTGTGCTGGGAGTTCAGGGTTTTTTTTCTTGTGAAGACTGTGAGTCACTCCTCATACTTTACTGACTGGTCTGGCACATATCAGCAGAGCTCAGTTGATACAGTGGATGTTTTCCAGATGATAATTCATCTTTAGCAAACTAAGCTGGAGAGTTTATAGTCTAATCCACAGTTTTTTAATGAAAAATCTCCTTTTTTGTCGCTCTGTGCAAATACTGTACATAGATTTATAGCACCACCCACTCATTGTTCCACAATCTACGCTTCTGAGTTTTTCCTCCTTACCGTTGGAGGCCCTGTAGGAATGGAGGAGATCGGACAGCAAGCCCTTCTGGACGGTGGCGTTCCCGCTCAGTGTCTCCTTGTCCAGGATGAGCAGGAAGCGGTGGAGCTCCATGAGGAGCTGGTCCAGCACTGGAAGCACAGGACAGACAGACAAAAATAAAAACTCCTTTAAATGCCAAATGGTTTGAAACATGTCTTGGCGTGGAAGTATGAAAGGGATAGTTCACCCAAAAATGAAATTCACTCATTATCTACTCACCCGATGCAAATGGAGGGGTGGACAGCGGACAATTAGGCTAAAGACACAAAAGTAAATGATGCCGCTTTGAGATGAATTTGAATGTCGGGCTTACTGAAACTTGGATGACACCACAGAAGCAGATTTACTTTTTTTAATGTTTTTTTTACATTTGAAGAAGTGGTCGCCATTTACTCTAATTCTATTGTATTTGGCTGAAACTCTGTTTACCCTTGAAACCCCAAAAAGTGTTTTGTGGACTCAATAACCTCACCCACCCCTCCATCGGCATAGTGGTGAGTAGATGATGAGTGAAGTTTTATTTTTGTGTGAAGTATCCCTTTAAGAAGTATTAAAGCCATTGGCTTCAGACAAGGACTTCCCATCAGCAAGAACAGCCACGAGCAATAAAAAACCCTCCGCAGGTTTCCAGAAATCGTCAGAATCTTGTACTTTAATTTACGACTGAGGGCAGCGGGTTCAAGCTCACGATGTGTCTTTTACCGTTGCTTCCAGCCGCTGGTTTGTTAGCTGTTTAATTCACACTGGTTGCCTTCAGCGTTTAGAAGCTCCGCGCTGTACGCCAACATTTTACATGGGAGAAACTCTGCGGAGGTTTTCAGCTGGCAGCCGTGGATAAACATTCAGACTGTATATGTCATTCCCTCTTGTCTCTCTTGCGTTGGCTATTGACAGCTGTAGGTCTTATTCGAGGTTGTTTTGGGAGCCGTGTGAGTTTAGTGAAAGGTCAAGTCCAGCGGAGGGAGGAGCCCGGGCCCCGAGTCGGCGGGGCCAGTGTGTCTGGGTGCGTCCCACACACATCCTTCAGGGGTCAGGGCTGAGCTCACAGCCCTCATCGCTGTGTGGGGAGCTCTTTGTGTTTCCCTTCGCTCTCCCTTGGCCTCATGAATGGGCCCCTTGCTACAGAGGGCCTCAGTGTGTGAGCGCTTCAGCAGAAGATGAGACAGAAGGGAAGTAAAGAAGAAAGACTTTATAAAGGGAAAGGTGGGGCAAACATCAGTGGTGGTGTATAAAATCCCCCCAGAATGTATATCTGCCTCCCTACAGGTCTGTAGATGTGTCAGCTGAACCTCAGCCACGTTAAAAACAGACACTTGAAATCTAACAGCAGAAGACAGTCATACACACATTCAAGGTCAATTACCGTCAAAATGTAATTTTCCTCAATCAGCTAGGTATGAGTAGCATCAGTATACAGAGTAATTTGGCTATTTTGAGTAACTCAACTAAACCAAAAGCCAAACCACGCTAAAGTATTTTACCCTGAATGGACATTTTGAAATAGCGTACTCTTTCTTGCTTGCCGCAGTAAATATGAAGCCAGAGCCAAGAAGCTGTTATCTTAGCTTAGCATAAAGACTGGAAACAGAGGGAAACAGCTAGCCTGGCACTGTCCAATGGAAACAATCAAACACCTCTAAAGGTCAAAAGTTGACACGTCATGTCGTTTGAAGAAGCTAAGTATTGTGTTGCGTTACTCGCACAGAGCGGAACAATTCATTCAATTAATCTAACTTAGTTGGTTAATTTAGTTTATTTAAAAGGTATAACATAAATACAGAGATGTTGAACATTCCTATAGATCATTTAATAGTTTGTTTAAAAATTAAAACAAAGTTTTTATAAAAACAAACAAAAACTAAAAATTTAAAACAATTTAAACTATAGAAATGTGAAAATCATCGCACTCAATCTAACACAATCTAAAATCCTCTCAGCTATTTCAGCTACAACAACTTGCTCCTCTCTGTCTGAACTCTATCAAACCTGTCAGAGAGTCTGTTTAGTGGCTCCTTCCGGCTCAAACTCATCACTATGATCCAAGACTTAGAGGGAATACTGTTCATGCCCTCCCACACACTCCCACACTTTAAAAGTTCCAGGCAAAGGGGGAACTTTTTCTGCAAAGTAAGGTGTCAGAGCGTGGTGAGCTTTGCCTTCTCAGGGATGCTGAGAGGCTTTTTCTCGAACTAAAGCAAACTGTTTTTTTTAATGACTCCTACTCAAGCTGAGTCAACTTCAGCTGAGAGGGCCCCACATGAGGAGGACTTACACCATGGAAAACACACACACACACACGCACACAGGGGATGTAAAGTAATTAAAACAAGCTTAAACAATGCTCAAGACCCCGAAACGTTCACTCCTCTTTGTGTCGATAAGTTGCTGTAACGATTAAAACCACACACATTGACTTTCATTTCATTTCTAATTGTTGTTTAGCTGCTAATGTTTTGGTCGATCGGTACGAATCTAAACATTTCTCCTGCTTCTCCTCCTTGTGTGTTTGCAGAGGTTGACTCAGATGGCCTTTCGGATTGGGGGACCCTGGGAAACTTAGTCAGCTGACAGGACAGGGAGGTCTGGAGCGGGCCGTCTCTGCGGGCTACGGGTTGGCCAGACGCCCACTGCACATCCAGTGAGCGACCGCAGCCTCCGCAGCATAAACAATCTCCTTCTGTAGAATGGCCAAGAGGAATCTGAGAGGCCGTCGGCCAGCCAGATTACTATTTTCTAACCGTTCTAATTGAAATCTAAATGCCAGGTAAGAATAAAATCAAGAGTCTGGATTTGAGTGAACAACAAGTTGAATTTGAAGTTGAACATCATCCACAAGGGAGATTTCTCTTCCTCATGCCGGAGGTTGTACTTCCTGGTTTGATCCATTACCAAGAAAAACAACTACCCTGTTGTTTGCTATACACACATGTTGTTTTTCACATAGTGCTTTGATAAGATAGCTGATCTAGACAGCAGATTTAAAAGTATTTACACTGCCTGAGGTTACAATAAAAGAGAGGATTTGTTGTCTGGCTGTCTGACCACTCATATTGAACTGTTGCTGTGTGTGAATGGTGACATGGTGGTTTAGGTATAAGTGGAATATAGCCACAAACATCATGGCAGAGATTATACGTAACAGGTTCCTGCAATACAAAGTCTTTAATCAGTGTAAACCTGCAGTGTAAACCTCCTTATCTGTTCACCTTGTCTGACCCAGGCTGCGGTCGATGGAGGAAGGCTCACTGTTACAATTTGACGTTTTTATTCGTCCCTCAAACATAATGTTCTGTCCAATGAAAGGCAACGTTTTAATATCAACGATGCACAAAAAGTATATGTGTGGTTGTAAATGTGAAACCAATGACAAGATAAAAGACGTCAAATCTCCTTGTCTTTCCAAGCTGACATCTTTTTCATCCTGAGTTATTTCTATTTTTACAGTTTCTCGTTCGTCACACACTTGAAGCTTTTACAAACATTTCCCGGCTCTGTTGTCACATGGGACACGGAGACACTTTCTGGATACTTTACTAGGTGACTCGGAGAAACGTTTCAGGAAAATATCTGGAGCACCTGACTCAGACATTTGTGTTCTCACACACTACGAAAAATGTTTCAGAACATTCAGTTAGGAGAAGGAATTTAACTTGAGTCCTTCCCTCCCTTCTTCGAGTTAAATTTGAACAAATCTTCAGCGGAACAAGGGGGTCTTGTCAGGATCCTGGCAGCAGCGTTTCCTGCTCCGAGAGGCTTGAGGTTCTGCATCACCACTGACAGGCCGCCTCTCAGAGGAGACGAGCCCTGCAGGCATTTCATCTTATCAAACTAACGAGGCAGGCATGGCCTCTCGTTCTGGTCAGATTGCGTCCAGGTTAAATGCGGTTGCTGGGACACTGCTGTTACTTGGTGGGATCGCTCTGTAAACTGCCCTGGGTGAATTTAATCAGATGTGGAAGTTACAACCCCTCACAATATATACTCGTTCAGAGAAATAATGTCTGGAGCTGCATTTCAGCCCTGAAATAGAAACTAAAAGCAAAATAAAAGGCCAAGTATGAGAGTTAAGAGCATTAAAAGGCCATTGGGACACCACAAGCCACCACAGCAGCTTCTGCGTGCCTTGTCTGAAGCTTTGTAAGAAGGATATGAAAGCTTTCCTCCCTTTTCTCGGTATATGGTGGAAACATCAGGCATTTCTCATGTACTCAGTTGAGTTTTGAACTGGCACCCTGGGACAGTCACTGTGAGAAATGTTGCATATTCTGTAAATTTACCATCAAGTTGTCACCCACGTCCTCTAAATGGCAGAAACATCCCCAGATCTTTATGGATCTATCATCCCTCGCTTTTTTACTTTTCCTCATATGTGAATTAAACTTTCATATGTTGATGGTCTCATCTGTGTTTCGCCCCCTCCACATCCGTCCTACTTTCAAAACAGCTCCTCAAATCCCAACTTATCAATTCACGCTTCAGGAAATATCAAGTTTTTCACTGATGCAATATTTCTGATGCTTTTCGAGCACTTTTATGGCTTTGATAAGTGTTGGAGGATAAAAAAGTCAAATGGGTGGAGGGTTAAAGAAAACAAAAAACAAGATGAAATGTGAAATTTTAGCCTAATATTGCTTCCATCCGATGATGCAATAAAGGCAGTTGAAATGTAAGCTGGCTGGCTTGCTTGTTCAGCTGGGAGCTGCTGGTTGAGGTCTGTTTGGGACACTTCCTCTTCCCTCTGAATCACAGTCATATTTTGGGATGTGGTGCAGATGTTGAAAATAGTCACAGATGTGCTCGCAAGGTTTTCCTCACATCCAGTAAGTGAATGCTGCACTTGCTGAGCTTTTATACCATAGCTTGTCTGTCGGTCGGTTTATCTACACCTGCTGAATTTCCTCTGCGTACCTGTGTGCCGGGAAACATCCATTCATCCGCTCATCCGTTCATTCAAGACATTTGTTCTCCAGATGCTGATCACAGTGGACGCAGCAAACTTGGCTGCAGGGGAAGAGCATCAAAGATTCAGATGTGGCCAGACGGCTTCTCTTGACTAATTCTGTGAGCCAGAGGCTACTTTTCAGACATG